TCGTGAGTCCATGTGTCCGTGTGTCCGTGTGTGTGTGTGACTGAGTCTATGAGTGTGTGAGTCCGTGTGTCCGTGTGTCTGTGAGTGTGTATCTGTGAATCTTTGTGTCCATGTGTCTGTGTGTCTGTGCAGAGGTGAGTGCGGAACCGGAAGGCCCCACAGGGAGACCTGCACCCCATCTCTGCATCCTCAGCCCACGGCTGCGCGGGAAGGCGGGGGGAAGCCTGCTGAAGCGCAGAGGCCTGCGGGGCTGAGACAAAGTCCTCCCGATGGCTCGTCTGGCCCAGACCCAGGGCACAGCTCTCCGTCTCAGACCCCCCGGAGCTGGCAGCAGGGATGGCTGCTACCTCGGGTAGCCCTGCGCCCACACTGAAACCAACCCGTCCACGTGGACCCACAAATCCATGAGGTGGACAGCACCAGGGCTTAGAAAGGCAGAGGGCCCCCAAGAAGCACGTTTCAGCAAAACCAGCCAGAAACCCCCAAGTTACACAAAGGCCTATTAATAACACAGAACAAACAAGCTAGAGGAGAGCGCAAAGGAAATCCTGACAAGGGGCCAGGCCCTCAGGGCTGGGGCAGGCAGGGAGGCTGCCCGTACCTGCCATCCGGGCTGACGTCTCCTGCCCCCGGAGCAGCGGGAGCAACACGGAGCCGCCGCCACCGCTCCGGGTCCAGACGCCCTCCTCCTGGGACAGTGAGGTGAGGCCCCACCCTTCTACGTTACTGTTCACTATGCATGTAAAGCCCTGGAGGGGAACGGCAGCCCACGCCAGCATTCTTGCCTGGAGAATCCCACGGACAGGGGCCTGGCGGGCTACAGCCCACGGGGTCGCACAGAGTTGGACACGGCTGAGCACACAGCACACACACGCATATAAAGAAAGCTGAGCGCCGAAGAATTGGTGCTTTTGAACTGTGGTGTTGGAGAAGACTCTTGAGAGCCCCTTGGACTGCAAGGAGATCCAACCAATCCATCCTAAAGGAGATCAGTCCTGAATACTCACTGGAAGGACTGATGCTGAAGCTGAAGTTCCAGAACTTTGGCCACCTGATGGGAAGAGCTGACTCATTGGAAAAGACCCTGATGCTGGGAGGGATTGGGGGCAGGAGGCGAAGGGGAACACAGAGGCCGAGGCGACTGGATACCATCACCGACACAGTGGATGTAAGTTAGCAAACCCCTGGAGAGGGCGAAGGACAGGGAGGCCTGGCGTGCTGCAGTCCATGGGGCTGCGGAGCCGGACACGACTGAGCGACTGAACAACAACAACGCTCTCATCACTATGGTTACTGTTATGATTTATTACTCTATGATCACTCTCTGCAGGAGGTTCAGATAAAATAACCTAACGCATGCTTTGAGAAGCTTAATGTGCAAATAAAAGACATTGTTTTTATTATATTTACAGAACATCACAGAGATTTACCATGAACAAGAATCATTTTATTCCTCCTTTCCTATGTCCACTTTAAAATCCTGGAATATTTTCAGTAACTTTTTATAGAAAATGCTATACTCAGATACTCACAAACTCCATGTTATATTTTTGAAGTAAATACTGACTCCATTCATTTAATCTCCACTGAAGGAAACAGGAAAGATTCACTAATAGCGCAGTAACAGTAAGTTTGGACTCTGGACCCTTGCGATCATACCCAACTGGTTTTGTTTTTCACTAATGATGTGACCTTGGATAAGATATTTAACCTCTCCCTGTGACATTTTTCTCATCTATAAAATGGGAACAATGAAAGCATTTAAGTAGGGGGTTGTTATGATGATTAAATAAAATGGATTAGTCAAGACATTTGATATACATCTATCAATCAACAAGTATTATCTATTATTATCTTAAAAGGGAAACAACTAAAGGAACATATATTTTGCAACACCTTCTTTCCCAAGTATCACAAATATCCTAAACACAGGATCTGGTGAAATAATTCAGAGGGAAAAGGGCATCTTTTGGTTGCTGTTGGTGTGCCATGCATGTGGGATGTCAGTCCCCTGACCACGACCGCTGCCGTGGAAGCACACAGCCTTAACCACTGGCCCACCGGAGAAGTCCCAGAGTCAATTTTCAAATAATAAAAATTCTTGAAAATGAGAATCATAACAACAACCAACATTTCTTAATGTTATCTTTTTAAGTATCCAAAACTTAGAAAATAATAATCCATGCTGAGATCCATGAAAAAGATGGCCAGAGAAACAAAGAAAATGCATTAAAAACAGCTAAACTAAACTGATCAAATAGGTAAACTGAACTATCAATTCCCAAGGGCTGAGAGTTTGCTCCATACGCATTCTGGCAATTGAAAACAGTAGGAGCCAAGATTTGTGAGGTGACAGTTAGGTCATGCCAGGTTAAGGGCTGATGAAATGACCTCTCCTAGTGCTAACTTTACAAGCAGTTTGAGGAAGGAAATTTACTTGGAAATGAGACACTCAACACTAGTGGATAAAAAGCCAACTGCACACACACTAAGTCCAGCAACTGGTCGTTCGTGCAGATATCAAACGTCTAGTTACCCTCTCTAGCAAGTTATTTACCATCTATGCCTGGCGAGACACAGGTGAACCTGCAGGCAATAGAAAGAAGGGTAAAGCAGCTCCTCTGCCTAAACCTCTCAGTCTAATGCTGCAGAGGCACCAAGGTGAACGCCTCACACAGCCCTCTTGCGGGGTAAACACACAGGCACATCACCCAAGTCCATCCTAAGGGGACAGGGATGGATGCTCAGGAAAGGTCATACTGAACACAAAGCCCAGAAGTCAGAGTGAGTGAGGGAGAGGCTGAGCCTGGCCCAGAGAGTCTGCTGGACAAGGGGACATCACATGCAGAAGCACATCGGGTCACCACCGGGGCCACCCCACCCTCCAACGGGCTCCCGTCACACATGAACACTTCAGTACTCTGGCGGCCTGGCCCGGTCCCTGTCCCACCGCTCACTCCACTCCTCTCCCCGGACACTCTGACGTCCTCGCCGTCCTGAAATACGCTGAGCTCATCCCCACCCAAGCCTCCTCCCAGCTGCGCCGTCCACCCGGGAAGCTGTCCCAGCGCATCCACACTTCATTCAAACGCCGCCTCTTAGGGACGTCAGGCCCCAACACACCTCACCGGCCTCGGGAAGGCTGCCTCTCTCTCTATCACTGTGAACCGTGTACTAAACTACACTCCTCTTCACACGCTGTCCCTTCAACATCTGCCTCTTCAACTAGCCTGCGAGCTCCGCGGGGCAGAGGCTTCGTCCGCCTCTGATCCAGGCACATCTCCAGGCGCTGCAAGGGTGCCTGCCAGGTGGGGAGGGCTCACTAAGTGCGTGCGGAACAATTTGTGGACAGTAGGTGCCCAGAGGCAGCAGAGAGGCGTGGATGGCCAGAGACACACAGTTTAGGCTGAATGGAGAAGCGGGGGTGGGGCTGGGTGAGCATTTTCTGGACGCCATGAGCAGCTTCCTTCAACTTCTCTTAGCACACCCGTCCCACTAGTGACAAAAGTTCTCTGTCAGACGTCTCAATTGTTGCTAACCCCGGCTCCCATAAGGTGACTACCCAGGTCCCAGGAGATAATCTATAGCTAGAAAAGAGGGCTACAGAATCCCCTGGCGTCCTTCCATGGAAATGATATGTTTCTTTTTTTTTCCAGGATCTCAGTCCACGGGCCAGGGACTGAATCTGGCCACACCAGGGTGGCCCAGCATCCTAACCACTGGGCCGAAAGGGAACACCCACCATGCATGCTTTTGACAACATAAAATCTTAACAGTTTAAACGGACCAGCAGGGTAGCCTAAACGCTAAACACCCACTAGAATTTTCCAAAAGGAACTAAGAAACCAGCAACGGCACACACACACACACTCCAGGACACAAACGGAGGTGCTGAGGAGGCCTCCCATTCGGTCACACGGGTCAGGGAGAGGAGAGCTTATATACTTGGAGACAGAGAGCAGGCGACCGGGGGGCCAGGAGAACCAGCATCGACGGGGCAGGAAGCGTCTGCACAGCCAGTGCCAGGGAGAGGGAACGGACGGCCACAGGGGCGGGACAGACAGGACCCAGGGTGGGCGCGACGTCAGGTCAGTGTCCGAGACGGCTGTCCCCCGCGGGATCTGACGGCACACGAGAGGGACCGAGCCAAGTCCTGAAGCGCTTCACACGAGTGGTCCCTGGAGTTCCCACGGCAGCAGTGAACAGCGCCATCACCACCTCCACGTCGGAAAGGAGGACGCTGAGGCTCAGAAGGGTGAGGCCCCACGGTGAGAACTCAAGCCGGGCCTGGCTCCTGACCACCGTGGTAACCAGGTGCCTCTGCCCCACGCACCCACCCACAGAGGAGGCGCTTTCATGTCATGAATGCGTGCTGAGAAAGGCAGTCAGAGTTAAGGAAACAGTGCCGCTACTTTCGCTAAGCGCTGTCCTGGAAAAAAAACAAGGAAGGTAGGATGGGAACAGAACCGCAGAAAGAGCAGCTCAGCTCAGAGACGAAGCGCTGGGAGGGTCCAGGCCCACCAACCGAACACTCGGGGCCTCTTCCAGAGAGCTGCGGGTCGCTCCTCTTCACCCACTCTGCCTTCTCAAGGTCTCTCACTGCTCATGTCTTGGCTTGAGCCTGGACCTCCCCCGTACCTGACAATGCTGCTCTAGCCGTTTACAAGTCTACGCTTCCAAGTCACACGCTAACCCTTAAAAGAGAGCAGGCAACTGCACCGCTGGATGGCAAACGCCAAGGGCCAGGCTTCTGTTTTCACTTTTGGATTTTGTTAAATCGAGCTAAATACAGAAAATGCTATTGAAATAAATTCCTTATGAAGAATCTTATGAAATCGACTTCATTTCTGGCAAAGAGAAAAGCAAATGAGCGATAGTTTTCTCATACTAAAAGGAACAGTTATGCAACCATCCGTCATGGAAGAGCCGGGCTGAAGTCAAAATGTAAAAGAGGGAACAGCCCCACAAGGTTCGAGCGGAGGGCTCCATGGGCAACCTACTTCTCATACAGCCTCTGTCCCCTCACGAAGGCCTTCACTTCATTGTCCAGGGGGAAGGTGCCGTCATCCTTTCTAAAGCGGTAGAAGAGTTTGACGTCCTTGAATTCCTTATGCTCATCACACACTGAAAGACAAGATACACAGAGATGCAAATAAGAAAAAAAAACCTCTTATTAATTACTCAGATGAAGGAAGATGCTGATCAAGATTTGTTTTATTACCTAATTTCTCAAGCATACTACTTTGCAATCTAATACATGTATTTAACACAGTCCCTGGCACAGAAAAGTGCTCAGTTTTATGAGCTATCATCATCATCACTATTTAAGAGAGTCACAAAACTCAACTCATTCTTCTTTCCACAAACTCTTCTTGAGCATGATAACAGGGTAGGCATCAGCCTTAAAGAATGTGAAATCTAGCGAGACAGAGACAGGTCGATACGTAATTAAAACATGACGTGATTCGGCTACAAAAGAGCTGAGGAGACATGAAAGGAGCACCTAGAACCCCCGCCGTGTGGAAGAACGCCTCTCTGAAGAGTCTGAATGCACGTGGAGACCTGAAGGAGAGGAAAATGAGCGAAAGGGGAGATGTCAGCATTTCAGCCCAAGAGAGCAGCAGCACGTGAAAGGTCGTGGCCAGGGTTAGACGTTTCAGGGAGATACAGTCAGGAATGGCCACTGGAACACAGTAACGGCAGAACTCGGACACAGCCCGAACGTCCGCCAGTGGAATGGACGACGGTATGATGGCCAAACGGTACGTGGTACGCACTGCCGTGAAAAGGAGCAAATGAGACACGCTGCCAGCGTGAGTGGATCCCACAAACAGGATGTGGAGCAGAAACGTGCGTCTCCATAGTGACCTAAAACAGCATGTCACACTGAGAGATGCACGCACAGCAATGAAAAAGCATAAAGAAGTCCACAGAAATAGACCCAGATGCCTCTTGGAAGAAGGAAGGGACTGTAACTGGGCAGAGGTACACAAGAGACCAAGTAAATGCTCTGTTTCTTAAACAGGTGGGTTCACATCTGAAACAGAAGATTCAGGGCTTCCCTGGGGGTCCCGTGGGTAAGACGCTGCACTCCAAGTCAGGTACGGGTTCAACTCCTGGTTGGGGAACCAAGATCCCACCCACTACAGCGTGTGGCCAAAAAAACCTTTTCCCTTTTTAAAATTCCTTTCTAAATAAAATGAAATAGAAAGTATAGCCCTTCGTTTTGTCTCACTACTCTGTGGCCGCCTCGCTCACCGTGGTGGATGATGCCCCGGTCCGCCAGCTTCTGCATGAGTTTAATAGCCGTCTCTCTGTCAGACGCCTCCTTGTGTTCAATCAACCAGTCAATCAGTTCTTTTGCGACAAAACAGTTCGGGTAGGTTTTAAGATGATGTCGCCTGTCTTTAATCACCTTTTCTTCATGCAGCCTGAGCCTGGAAAGAAAAGTTGGCAATCACTTTAGGAATTCTGATGACAACACGCATCACTGAATCAGTCCCAGAGAGAAGTAACGAAATTCAAGCCCAAGACACATCAGAGGGCCATCCTAATACCTTTATGTCAGCAGGCCATTTCCATCGGGTCAGAGCCAGAGGCCCCAGAAAGTGACCCCACCCGCAGATCCAGAAGGACACACGAGCTCCGTGTCACTGCGGAGAGCGTTCTCACCCCACCCCGCCTCCCTCCCTCACTCGCTCTCCACCAGTGGGCTTACGGTTAGAACCAACCAACTAGTAAACTTCTAGAAACCTGCGGAAACCAAGTACTTCCTCTTCATCACAGGCCGCTGAGAATGCACGCCCTCTGAACTCACTCCGTGACACAGCAAACACGAATGAGCGTCTACCCAACCGGCCCGTCAGGGACGTCCAGGCAGTAGAGACCGAAGTCGGAAAACGCACGAAGGTGCCTGCCCTCGCTGCTCTCGCCTTCCGAGGGGCAACAGCTAAGCCCCTTGTGAGGCTCTTTACCTAGACCAGGGCTTCCCGGTTGGGGCAAGTGGTGCGAACGCAGGAGCCACAGGAGGCCCGGGTTCCATCCCTGGGTCGGGAAGACCCCCTGGAGAAGGACATGGCAACGCACTCCAGTATTCTCGCCTGGAGAGTCCCGTGGACGGGGGAGGCTGGCAGGCTACATCCCCAGCTTCACCCACGTGACTCCCGTCCGTCTTACTTCATTATCTCAATGCTGTAGAGAAATGGGGTTGACTGAGTAACCACGCAGAAACTGGGTGAGCGTCTCTTTCTTCCTCCGTCAGATGGAGGCAGCTGCACGATCCTGTCCTCGGTGATGCTGAGATGGGGGCCCAATGTCTGCTAAGCGCCAGCAACTCAGCACAGCACCCAACACAGAGCAGGCCCCACCCCCCCATTCCCGCAGGAAGGACCCAGGCCCTGCTCCTGCCTGAGGTTCCCAATGTGTGTGCGTGCTCAGTCGCGTCAGTCGTGTCAAGACTCTTTGTGACCCCACGGACTGTACAGCCCACCAGGATCCTCTCTCCGTGAGGATTCTCCAGGCCAGAATACTGGGGTGGGTGGCCATGCCCTCCTGCAGGGGACCTTCCCGACCCAGGGGCTGAACCCAGGCCTCCTGTGTCTCCTGCATCGCAGGCAGATTCTTTACCCACTGAGCCTGCTGGAGTGCGCTAAAGGGAATGTAACAGGCTTTGGCATCCCAGGGGTTGTGAGTCTGTGTTGGGAACATTCTGGGCTGGAGCTCTGAGACCAAGATGCTCTTCCTTGCCTCACCACTGTCACAGGCTGAGCCGGGTTCCCCTAAAATTTCATACGCTGAGGCTGCAATTCCTGGTACTTCAGAATGTGACTGCATTTGGAGACAGGCTCTTTTAAAAGGTAATTAGAAGCAAATGAGGTCAGTAGGGCAGGCCCTGGACTTGTAGGAGCAGTGTCCTTACAAGAAGTGGGGGTCAGGATACAGACAGGCCAAGAGGGAGGACCAGTAAGGACACAGGGAGAAGCCGGCCATCTATACACCAAGGAGAGGCCTCAAGAGGACAGCCCCATGAGCACCGCGATCTCAGACCGTTAGCCCTGAGAACTGTAAGACAGGGAATTGCTGATGTTTAAGCCACCCAGTCGGTGAATCTTGACTGTGGTAGCTCGAGTGAAGACAGTCACCCACTGCTGAAGATGGAGGCTCCTGAGAAGTCTGGGGATGAAGTGCTCAGCTGGGGCGTCGACAGGGGGGCAGGGAGAGAAGAGAGATGAGAGTCCTAACAGGTACAAAGCGCATGGAAAGAAAAGAACCATTTATTCTATTTAGTATTTATCTATTTGTCTGGCTGCATTGGGATTTGGCTGCAGAACGCACCGTCTTCGCTGGGGCACACAGGCTGAGCTGCTCAGTGCCTCGTGGGAGCCCCTCCCCCTGACTAGGGATCAAACCCACATCCCCTGCATTGCGAGGCAGACTCAGCCACCAGACCACCAGCAAGGTCCCGAAAAGAACCCTTTTAACAGAGTTCCTACTATATGCTCAGCACTGCACTAAGCATTTTCACATGAGTGACTTAACTGCTGTGGCCTGAACGCTTCATCCTCCACAAATTCACATGCTGAAATACTAAACCCCAAAATGTTACTTATGAGGACAGTCAGGAACACAGGACTTGGCTCTCATCCTGATGGCCAGTAATTCCAGAGGACCAAACTTCTGAGCATCAGCATCCTTGCTGGCAAAACCAGGATAACGGCGTCCACCCTGATGATCTCACACTGTCGCAAAGCTGGTTAGTAAGGATAAAGACAGCATTTGAGCCTTTACTGAAAGCCAGGCAGCTCTGACCGCTTTACTGATATTAATCCTCATCACAGCTCCCTGAGGCTGCTCATGTTAAAGTCACACATGATATAAAGTAGAGCTGTGAGTATTAATAAGAAGTAAACGAGCCTTAATTTAAAAAAAAAAGGACGTCACATCGGTGTGCTAAAGTCATCACATGAATCATTCTAACTAATTCAGTGACAGTGACACTGAGTAATTTGTTTAACATGCTCAAAGTGGCAGAATGCAAAACACTGATTCTTAGACAAGATGTCTGTCAAGAATCTAAGAATACTGAGGACCAATTTATTTAGAAACTGAAATGTGGAATAAGCCGCTCTGTAATTTGGTGGAGGAGGAATATGTTATGAGCCAAGAGACAAGGTTCGGCTCCTGTAAACCTTCCAACTTAAAAAAGAACGTGTTGGGTGACGTTTCTCTTTAAACACATGTTGGGTGATGTTTCTCTTTAAACACGTGTTGGGTGATGTTTCTCTTTAAACACGTGTTGGGTGATGTTTCTCTTTAAACACCACAGAACAGAGCCTTTCGGTTACTATCCCTTCGGCACTGAGCTTGGTGCTAATTCTGGAGCAGGACTGCCTCCCTCTGAACCTCACGCCATACAGGAAGAGGCAGCTCTGGTCACTCCCCTCGCAGCCCACCAGGACCTGGTGCGTTTCCACGTCGAGGAAAGCGGGCAGCAATATCGAGGAGAAAGAGCTCTGGATCTGGGAGGCAGCCTAGAGCTTGATCTTCTCAGACATGTTACCAGGGGTTAAAAATGCTCAATAACTGACCATCTGTTTCTCTGTAATAGAAACACAGAATGCTAAAGATGAGTATGAAAAATCCCAGAAAAACTATCCCAATAGAGAGATAAGAATTTTCATATGCTAAATAACCAAGTGTTTTGCCTGGCACTGTGCATACTTAATAAATATTTGGTGAACAAATAAGGATACAGGGACACTAACAGAAATGACACCCTTTTCTAAAAAGTAGGGAAACTTCTCACAAAAAAAGTGGGGGTTCTCACCCCACGACTTAGTGAACATCTAATATTAAGGAATTTATCTTAAAAAAAAAAACAACACGTATATGCTTTCACTTCCGGGGCAATCCACTTCCCAAGTTGAATCCCCGTTGTGTGGGTGTATATGTGGGTTTTGTTTCTTGGTCATTCTGTGTGGCTTGTGGGAGCTTAGCTCCCTGACCAGGGACTCGGCAGTGAAAGCACGGACTTTAACCACTGGCCACCAGGGGATTCCCCTGCATGTGTGTCTCTTTTCTTTTTTTTGAAAAAGCATTTCCATTTCTTTGAACTCAATTTACGGCTTACAAATTTCCACAGTGTTTAATACACGAATATGCATGATCCCCAAGAAGCAGGTAGAGGAGACAATATTTCAAAGTCTTGTGGGAAAAGAGAAATTCTGCACCCTCGAGCCTCTCTGGGATGGCATTCTCCAGGAAGACCTGGTGAGATGCTGAGCGGGACTGAGACGCCCTTGCAAACATGCCCATCACCCCATCTGCCAGGCCCACACCCCCTGCAGCTGCAGACCGCCTCCCACACCTCGGCCACCCCGGGCAGCCTGCAGACCCCCCCCTGCCCCCCCACCCCGAGCTGGTTCTCCCCGCCCGGGGCAGAGCCTGGCTGAGAGCCCCTGACTCACGGGGTCCCCGCGCGCCCACCGGCTGCTCGGCGAGGGGACCAGAGCCAGAGGATTCTCCCCACTCAAGGGACAGCCGTCGGCCAAGCCCATCAGGACGGCTCCGTCCAACACGGGAACAGGGCCGTCAGTTTCCAGCCCTGTCTGTGTGGGGAACCTTCCTTCGAGGCGGAGCCCACCCGGGAGCCAGTGAAGAGCCCAGAGCAGTGAGGAGGGTCCCGGTTCAGAGCAGGGGGCGGGGTGGGGGCTCGCGGCCGGATGCCCCTGATTCCCGGTGGTTCCCCCACGCAGACCCCCGCGTCCAGGACTGTCCACCAGGCTAACCCAAACGTTCGTGCGGATTCCTCCATAGGCGGCTATGGAAAAAGCCAAGTGAACTTTCTGGCCAAGCCAACACATGAGGTGTTTAGAACACAGGTTAGACATCCTTGGGATCATAAGAAACCTGGCAACCAGGGAAGAGGGGGCACGCAGGCCAGCTCCAGGAGGGCAGAGGGCAAGAGACGGCCAGAGGCCCCCACGCAGGCCCGGGTCGGGTTCCTTTGAGCCTTTCAGTTCTTCCTCCGAGCTGCCGCGCTCCGAGAATACCCGGAACAGGGTCAGCCCCTTCGGCGGCTGCAGGAGTCTCGGCTCCGGTTCCACGAGGTCTGCAGTGAGCACGGCCCCTCCAAGCACTCTCACCGTCTCTGCCCGGCATGCACCGGCGTGCCCATCTCACAGTCTGGACATCCTGCACTCTACCCTCAAGACAGACACCCCTCGGCTTCAGACACCCCCTCCTCCTGCCTGTCATAGCTAAGAAAATTCTACTTGCTCTTCGGCTTAAAAGCACCTCCCCTGAGAACATTTTCCCAGCCACCCCAGATCAGAAAACGAGCTTCCCTCCTCTGCTCGCCCACTAGTAAAGCACTCGCCCCACTGTGTTACTGTCAGACGGGGTGAGGGATGCTAGGGGAGAGGTGCTGATTTGTAAT